AAGTTCTTGCTAAAATTACGTACTTAAATATACGCCTTTTTCTAACATTGCATGAAGTTTTGTGTTCTTGTTTCATAACGACGTTTCATAACGTGTGTCGTCCACACGGCGGACGGCAGCGAAAAACGTCGCTCCCGCGCGGCACTTGCCTAAAGCATATTTTATTTCCGTTTGCAAATTAAGTCACGTGGTATCACGTCTGATGTATAAACGGAGACAAAGTCTGCGATCAATTTCACAGTCCATTTGATTTTCTATAATACAGCAGCTTGAATTTCAACTGTTTTCTGTATGCACCATTAAATTTTAGTTGCCTTGGCTGGCAGAGAATACAGTGAATGGAATCGGACGAAATTCAGCTTAAGAAGAATATACCAAGTATCATTAATAAATTGATATTTTGGACGTGAAGTAGACTTCCGTTGACCCAGTATTTTATTATTTTGAACCTGCTCCGAGATTGAAGACTAAGACATGAGCTCTCGTGATTTTCCTCATTCTCTCCTTTCTTATTCCTGACCAGTTCGTAACTCCCAGTCGTACTTTTTTCCAGATCACCATTTATAATCCATCGATATCATTTATATATATTTCACCCTTTCTCTCTTCGTGTACTGACCACTGACTATGTGTGTTCTCATCTTAATTATATAAATTCTCTTATCTTGTACCGTCAATGTCTTGCATATTCTCTTATCATATTAATTTGATTGACTTAATTTATCTCAATTATTTTTAAAAAAATATTAATATATTCATCTATAATTAACCTTTGTTCCTTAGTGTCCTCTACTGTCAGAAATTTTCGATCGTTATCTTCTAGTTTGTGATGACATGTAGCCTTGAAGGTTGATCCGAAACGTCGATTGTCATCTTCTGGGTTTTGACATTGTGTAGTCTCATGCGTGGTTACCGGAGTGTAGGTCTACGTTGTCGAGCCGTCACAGTGATTGACAATGCGTTTCTCCAAAACGTTGGAAATGATCTCCTATATTACACAGAATCGCAAACCAGAGACCACAATGGAAATATTTATTTTTAAAGCTAATTGGTTTGTAGTGGTTGGTAATAATCATGAATGTACGATACAGAAAGCGTCTCATTGTAATTTATTGGCCCGTATTTATCATGTAAATAAGTGTATCATTTTGTGAGATAAATAGAGACAATGTGAATGTATTGGCTTATTGCAGAATGTAAGGTTTTGTTCGAAACAAAACGAAGAAAGGAGCAGGACAGAATGTAATTTAAATTTCAATGGACGGTCTGTTTCAAAATCGGCTGGAATGCCCGAACGTATGGCTTCTACGTGCCACGAATTCTGCCTGCCACCAGCGAGACCGAGCGGATCCGCCGTGTTTGCATGTCCTACGGAACCGGAACTGTTCCAACCCGCCGGAAAGAATTCGGCTCTCACCGACCAAGAGGGACGGAAGGCCACAGATCGATTCCTTACATGAAATTGAGGAGAACGCAAATGGAACTTCTGATTACTAAAATACTGACCTTCGTATTTTATTTCGTAGTAACGTTTTGAAGCAATGTACTCCTTTTTTGAGGACTTCGCAAATTTCGGAAGACCCAGATTCAGACGCAATACTTCGTCTATTGTTCTTTAAGTATTTGACTTAGCTAAGAGACTTGTAGGTTATAAACAAGGTCTCCGCTCTACGGATACAACATTTCTTTAAAATTCTTGTGTCATACTTTAACCAAACATTCGTTCTTTATTATGAAAATCATGAGGAACTGGTAAATATACGTATTGTGAGCAAAATGCGAAATTATTATTTGTTAGAACAATTGGCACAAATAGGTGCAGCCAGGGTTTAAGGTTTAACGCATTTTGTGATATGATTTTCCGTTTTATTAGCTAGTTTGCTTGTTTGTTTGTTATTTAGTCTGTCCACTTACACGTCCCACGCCTCATAAACATAAATGAAAGGATTCGAGACGTGACGGTGTAAGATCTTATATTCATGCGAAAATGTTTTTGAGCATTTTACTTTCGGTTTTGCCTTTGTATTTCTTTCTTTCTTCCCCACGTCTCGTCCTCTTGAAGTCAAATATTCTGCCTTCCTCCGCTCTTCAACTGCACCTTCACATCCATTTCTCTTTGCCTTTCTCTCGCCTTTCCTTGAATTTTACATTTCGCCCTTTGTTTACATGTAACTGTATTTCCTCTTTTCCGTTCGAATATTCAGTTACGATATTATTCGTGTCTTATTTTATGTTTACTTGAATTTCAGCCGGCTTTCTGTCTGTGTGTCAAGTTCAGTTGCCTCCTATCTGCTAACCTTTTTTGCGTCATGTGATTAGGTTCCTCGTCTCAAAAGCACCTTGACTTAAGTTTTATCCGGGACAGACTCGAATTTCCATACGTCCCTTCCATCTTTATTTACACTCGTGAAGCGAACTTTTCTGTGACGCTGTAAGGCGTGTTTTTCTATATTCTTGGGGAGAGGGGGGGGGTCAGAACGAATTCAAAGAAGAAGAAGAATATGGTATATGCACGCAGACGAGTGAAACGTAGCGGCGTTGAATGTCATGTGAGAGCTAAAGAACGTGGAATATAATTTCTTAGTACAAGGAGAGCGGAAGTCAGTGGCGAAATCTGGTGTCGTATTGGAAAAAAACTCGGCGTCATGAAATTCCTCCGATAGTCACAACAAAATGTTCACGTATTTTGATAATGATTTAGTGTTTTTGTATTATGTGCTGAGTAAAACAGTTGCTTCTTGTTGTACCGGGGGCATTTGCCGTTGCCAGAAGATTTAACGAAAACATAAGCACACAATAATCTATTATCTTTACAGAACTGCCTCTAACGGAGATGTTAGTGGTTTATGGAACACCACGGTTCAAATGTCGTGGTTGGTGATTATAAAAATAACATCTCTTGCATTTTTCCTATTTGCTGCAAACATCACTAGGGCACTGACCACGTCGTGAGCCTATTTAAGATCGAATTCTGCAAAACCTAAAATGAAGATTTTAGATTTCCAAGGCGGTGATTACGAAAATGGCTGTCCGTGTCCTCTGGTAGAGGTTTATCAACGCCCCAGAGATAATAGAGGCAGCAGGTACCTCTGATATCTTGGTACACTTTTACAAGAAATCAGCCACCTTCGACTTACACGCAGACTCAAAATTCCCCTCTAAAATCTTTTAATTTTCCCTGTGCGGAAAACTTACCTTAATATAGCGAGACTGAAATCCGGAATAGTCAGCGCAATCCAAAGCACGTGACACGTTTTAAGGGCTCTGTGTGAGCCAAAACATTCATCGGAACGGAACCTCGAGTTTTGTTGATTGTACTCCCTTAACATGCAGACACACGTTGACCCTTTTGCTTGAAATTCGCCATCAAAGAGAAGTGACAAGGGTAGAAGATGAATGAGGGAATTGAAAGGGGACGTGGGGTTGGATTTAAAGGGGGGAGCGGCCACATGTTGACGTCTTATCACAGCCCACTGAATGCCCTTCAGCCGAGTATTGAAGAATTCCCAGGTCATATCGACGTTTTTGCCCGTAATTAACGCACGCTTCAAATATCAAACACGTTTCCTTTTGCTAAGCCCAACAAAGGAAAGGCGAAGACATGTTTTCCTGTTTTCATTTGTATATTGTCTTTCAGCCGATGAGAGGTTTCTTTCAAGCCGTGTTCGCCGTGAATTTTGGATAAAATAAATGTTCGCATTGTTCGTAAAGTTTACGTCTGTTTATTCAGGTCCACCCAGTACGTGCTGACCTCGATCTGTTTATCTTCGACTCGACACGAGGTGCGATTTTCTGGACACAACGTTCAGTATTAATGTAAACGTCGTAAGCACATTTATCATCATAATTATGATCTTTGTCGTCTCTTTCGCTACGATAGCAGAAAATGGAACAGACGTGTGCGTTGTTGAAATGTTTTATCATTGTTAGTGCTGCTGTCGTACGAGGTGGAATTTTTGACAGGTTGAGGTAATTTACACCTTAAATAAGAGAGGTGGCAGAACTGTGTTACGTTGGCTAGACCGCTCCGGGCGTGTAGTAGAAAATCCGAAATTGCACAGAGATGTGCGCCGGTCAACATGAAACACAATTTTTTACAAAAAGTCTTCCTCAGAAAAGGAATTAGTAACGGGGGCGTGGTGTCTGTGTGTCCGTATGTACATTTTACAAATTTCTCCTTTCAGAATTATATATCATAAACCGTATTTGTCCAACACAGCCCTTAATTTATTTTAATCTTGTACTTAACCAAGAAGCTGTTAATGTTACAGAAATTCATGCATTAATTTGATTTTGTTGGTTGTTTTGATTCGAAAGATTTCTCAGTATGGCTTACGTTTATCAGGAAAATAATATATGCCGCTGTAAATGTAATACCTGCTATCATAAAATTCTAAATAAATGAATATGACGTTCATATTCCCAAATGTCTCTGATGAGTGGTACCACACTTTTTCTAAGTCTGTCATTTATAACAGGGAAATGGTCGGATATTATAATAGACCACGACCTTTTCTTTTCTCAGTCTCCTAGTTTTAATTTGTAAAATAATCATCTCAGTGGTATGTAATATAAAATGATTTAAATCGTAAGGAACGTACTTGGAAAATGCTCTGTTTTTTCCTTTTTAATTTGACACGAAATTGTCTAAATTGTTACTTGGGGATCACTCGAAAAATACTAAATTTAGTAAGATCGTAATCGTAACTAGTACCTGTAAATCTGAAAAGAGAGGTTTTCTTGGAGGGAAAATTAAGGAAATTAGTTGTCATGTGAAGTGTGTGTAAAATATATTGTTTAATTTTGAGTGCGATCTTCATTTTGAACTCCAGTCCTTAATTGTGGTTGGTTAAATAAATCAAATTTTATCTAGCAGTACAAAATATATTCGAACCGTTTCTTTTATGAGGTCCGTAACTGTCCCAATATTTGAATTATATTTTCGTACGACATTGAATTTGCTCGGTCATCTAACGTTCCGGAACATTCTCTCTTTCCAGGTCCCAACGTCAAAACTGCCGTCGCCATCCTCAACTGCCTACTTGCTCGACAACTGTGTGTAGAAGACGCATCCTGTTCAGCCATTTTGGAAATTATTCCCCGAGTGTGCGGTTCCGAATTAGGTAGGTAATTTTTATTTATCTTAATTATTTTCCATTTTCAGAGATTTATTAAGAAAGTCATCTTTATATGAACGTATGGAATGTAAGGTTTTTGAAGTTGTCGTCCGTACGTTATGAAGACGCATGGCCTCTGTACAAGGGTCAGCGGTTTGACTCCAGACGATGTGTGATGGTAGCCTGGATTACGTGTCGCGATTTCACGTAGGCCTCTACTGTTGGCACGAGACCTCTAGAAGAGGTTAGTGTTCATCGTATATATCAGAGTAAAGGAACAGCTCCCCACAAGTCAAGTCTTGTGCATGAGACTCCCTAATTTCACTACAAGTACAGTAGACTTCCACGTTTGTCCGAATTAAAAAAGACATAATTAAAATGTGAACAAATGCAGCTCAAATTTAAGTTTTTCTACTGAAGATAAATTGCGAAATTTAACCAAGACAAGTTACGTCAATCGATAAAAGTGATTCCGTCATGGAATATGAACTCAGTTTATGTATTAGTTATGAAGTGTATACATCAGTGGTAATAATCTGACGAGTATCCTACAAATTTCAGACTGTAAAATAATATTAGAAGTAGTGGTGTCTACTGATTAAATTATAAATTTTCATTTGCACTAATGTTATTTACACACAGAAATTCCCACCGAATTAGTTTTAAATTTGCTAATAGTACCGTTTTATAGGACAGACAGGAAGATTAGCATTTGCCAAACTATAATTACGTATACCTTTAATTTTTTATTCGGGCTAAACTCTCTGTCACATTAAATGAAATACATAGATTGAGGGCTTTTGTGGAGAGGGTAATGAGGACAGTATTTTTTCAGGAGGCTTGTGATATTAATTGTGTCCTGAGGAACTCCATATTGTGAAATATTCACCAAATATTATGACGATGATAAAATCAAGGCGAATGAGACGGGCGAAGCATTCGGTAGTAGTTATTCAGAATCCATTTTTTTTTTGAAATCGTAAAGGTAAGAATAACTTGAAAGAAATATGCATAGGTGGAAGGATAATATTAGACTGGATTTCTAGGAAATAAGGTTGGGAGTTTGGATAGAACTATTGTAGCTCCGAACAACAACCGATGGCAAGATTCTCTGAATCAGAGTTCAAAACAGACGGGAGAATTTCTCCGCTAGCCGTGCATTCAGTTCGCTACTTAAGAAGATCTTAATTCCGTGGATTAAGTACGTAAGTTACTTAGTTAACGCTTCTCCATTATTATTCAGCATTTGCTCCGTCTTCTAAGTTGTGCACGCCATTTCCTCCTTAGTGTGCACTTCTCCGAATTATACGTTATTCCACAGGCGTTAGTGTAACACTAATCGCTGAGTGGTTATGAAATAGTAAATATTCAAAAGTTTTAAAATATTGTAACTCCGATATAAATGCTGTGTGTATATCAGGATAAGACCATTGACTGGTTAATTAAAAACTCCTAAGTGATAATTCTTTAGTCCCTTTTAGCCTGCATTCTTCTGCTTTTCAGTGAGCAACGCGAAAAGTAGTAAATGATTCAGAACGCTAATGCACGTGCGTAGGGAAGTAACGTGGAAGAATCGAAAGACGTTGGTTTCCACGTCCTCTGCCCTGTGTCCTTGAACTTTGAACCAAATCGTGTTTGACCTAAGAATACTTCTCAGGCAAAACTGACAAGATTTACTTAAATTAACCGGACCTCTAAGAGAACTTCGTAGGAAATGCTCGTCAGAAGGAAATTGATAGAGTCTTGCAAAGCATGGTGACATTTTCTATCTTCCTGGTTAATTTAACGCTGAACAGTATGACACACTTCTTGAGTAGGAAGGGATGAGAAAGGAGGCCGTTGTGATTAGTTCTAAGTCATTTTACAAAAAAACTTATGCAGATGCAGGCCGTGTATCCGCCTATAGATGGAGATTAGCTCCATCTAACGGGCTCGAATATGCACGTTCACCTGATGACTGGGGAAGAGCCATCTCCCGAAACATAGCGTATTTTTAGAAAGCCTAATGGCGATTGGAAAAGTCCAAAAATTCTAATTAATAATTCAGTGGTAGTTTTAATTAACGGATATCCCTTGTAGGGCGATGCACTGAATCCCATGATGGAAGCATCGCGTATTAATAAGTTTCCTATCCGTAAGTGATTTATTTTATTTGCCAGGAAAAGTAGAGAAATGAACGCGTTGTTCAGTGGCTTTTAATATGAATATGTGTTGTTAACAAAAGTGAAAAACTTTCATCCTCTATGTTATCAAGAGTAAAAATTTAAATTTTAGTGTTTGTTACTCTGACATCCTTACAAATTGTAAGGTCTTTTATTTTTATTTTTAATTAAGTAATATACGTGACGCAAATTATAATTTCGGCCGCAAATAGAACATGTTCATTCATAGCGCCTAGTTCTTCTGAAAGGAGACGCTCCTTATGTGTAATGTAGCAGTAAACGTCACTACTTCGCTTATTCAAACAGTGCTAACTGCAAGGAGACGTGTGTTGTGTGTGGGTGACCCTCTCTCTTCTGTGTTGCTACCTAAAGGGTATGCTGTAGCATTGCCATGTTATTTTATTGTCATTTTGTGTAATGAAAGGGCTAAGTCTCGTCTTTGTGCACAAAGGTCGGTAGGAGTAATGTTTTTAAAATTTGTTTTATCAAACTGTGTGTTCAGTGTGTCTGATGTTTCCCCGTCAACTGGATTATCACACGTACGCGTTTTGTCAGGGAGAGCTCATCTCCCTAAGGTCATGCTTTGGTGTGAAAGAGAGATTCTCGACTCCAAAAATGTTATTAGCGAAGGAACGCAGCTTAATAATGACGGCTGAATTTTGTACCCCC